TATTTTATAGTCGATGAAATGGGTCTCGAAGTTTCCTTGTTCTTTTGGGTCGTAATGTCTTAATGCATTCTTAATCTCGCCATTTCATGGGCCCCATAAATTCGCGCAGAGCCGAAGACATGCAACGCTCCGTAAGACATGCCCAGTTGGCGTCGTGGCCTCTGCCACCTTGGATCATCAGGCCCTTTTGGTTGTACATGCGCTTTTGGCTCCATCTTCCATTTGGCGTAATGCGCGACCGCTGGACCCGATCACACGATCTGGCAAATGAGTCACGATTGAAGCTGATGGCATCAGTCTGCCTGAAAACCCTTTCTGGTTCCGAGCTTCTTATCAGTCCGGCTAGTCTTTTGGTTAGAATGCAAAAAGTTCTAGTCACGAGGTGAAACTGTCTTTGTTGTTGCATTTTCTCTCCTCATCGAAATTCCTCTTCCTCATTAACCTGGCATCCTTTGCATTCAAGCCAAGATGATGATTGGTATCTTGCTCTCCATTCACAACCTTATCCAACTTATTTACACTTTTATCTCTACCCATTTTTTCTCCACAAATATAATGACTCAATTGTCTCTTTTTTCCTCCATATTCATTATTACACTAGTTTTAGTTGAATCATCGTCGGGTTGAGCCTGATTGTTTTTAATCTACCAAGTATAATATATGAATTTGGTATCTGGGCCGATATTGTTGAGTTGTATTTTACCAAACGATTTATCGAGTTATGCCTAATTTCTTCATTTCTCTCAACATGATAATGTGGCTTTGATGTTCTTTCATGCTTTTTATAAGAGTACCTTTGGTTTGTTGCATCTCGGCTTCTGTCACCCATGTGCTAATGTACAAACTTACATTCCCATGTTTCAATAACATGACACCAGATTGACTGGGTATGTAGACTATATCAATCAGTAGGTGTAAGGTACCAAATACGATATAGATCAACAATACAGGCAACCATCGGGCAAGAGAAGGTAGCTTGATTGGTCTCGAATCTGGTTTTGTCTCTCACATCACACTCATTTCAGGAGCAATGCATTCACACAGCTTGCGTGCTGTCACATGCAGCAACATTGCAGGGTCAAGGCTACACACGTTTTAGGTGAGGATGCAATGGTTCGTCTACAATTACATCAGTTACATGCTTTATTCGCAGCCAGCTGCTTTTGCTTTTCAGCAAATATTTAAAAAAAGCACTGGACATCCAACCAAAACATGAGATGCCTAATTAATTGGACCATATTGGACTGCAGGAAGTAGGTCTGTTTGAAGCAGGACATCTTTCATGTCCTCGCGTTTTGGTGAAATATCGTAAAGCATGGAGTCCTGCTCTCGCAATTTCATTCACGTGATGGACGAAAGCGCTGCCAGGATTCCACGGGGTCGCAGAGCGGTGCGTTGAGGTCATATTCCCACAAATCTACAATCACAGCTCCAGGACACTCCCCCTACAGCTTACAATGAGGTCAAATTATGTTTCCTTTCCATTTGCCTCTTTAAACGAAATGAAAGTTACTCTGATTTCATTCTAATAAGGGATTCTTCTAAGACCAATTTTCTACATACATAAAGTGTGTCATCTTTATTTTCAAATTCCTCACATGGCATCTCTCCTTCGGCGATACTTCCAAGAATTTTCGGTTTGTGAATATATATATATATTCACTTGCTATCTTACGTTTGATCTGACTAATTACTAATTTTGTGTGTCGATTTTTAAAAATATTAAAACTTAAACTATAATTTTGTTAATTTTACGAAATCTCAATGTTTTTCATGTTTCTCAGTTGTAATCTTTAGTATCGAAA